ATAAAATGATGTGTGTAAATTTTTTTTTTTTGTAATACCATATTTCCTCATCGCTTGTATCGAACCATTTTGGAGATCCCCTTATTGTTCGTGTTCAATAGGAATAGTTCCAAAAAAAAAAAAGTTATAAAGTTGAAGAAAAAGTGAATTGAGGTCATAACATGATCGAAATAAACTCTCAAACTAAATAGGAGTGGAGGGAGTATATCGTTTTACGTATAATAACATTGAATAAATTAGCACAAACCTGCTATGACATGAATGGACTGCATGACAATAAGAAGGGAGGCAATGAATACAAGCAGTATCAAAAAACGGTTCGGGGAGGCTACACCCATCCAATCTGCAATAAATAATGCTTTATTATCTAGTTTATATGCCTCGCCAGTGGCTTTGGATTCATATAGAGTTCAGATTTTTTTTTTTAATAATTAATAGTTTTATAAAATAATAATTTTGAATTCGATAAGAAGAGAATAATTAAGAGGAAGAAGAGAAGGGAAGAAAACGGGGGGAAATAATTCCAAATTATAGTCTTAGTTCAAACCCAATTGTTCATGCTTTCAAACAATAATGTTGGTCAAAGAATAAAAAATTCAAACAAGCTAAGGAATTTCTATTCATTTGCAGGTGGCGCACTGGGGGAAACCAAAATACAAAGAAATGAATTAGATTATAAGAAGAAAACTTGTTGTTGACATTGATTTCACTAGATCAACCTCTATGCCCTAGGAAATTCTAATCTAAGATTTGAAGACCTAAGATATAGATATATATGCACAAGGAAATTATATATATATATATATCAATATATGGTAAAATTAATCTAAGATTTTTATTTTACCAGCTGAACACCTTTTTCTGCTTACCCTTTTTGATTTCGGTAATTTGTTTTAAATGATGGATTAAAGCTTTGAACATATCAAAGCTATCTTAATTATACATTTCATATAAATCACCCAAAAAAAATTGCATTTATTAATTTTATAGTTTTTATGCGATTATTATCGTAAAATAAAACGAACGCCGAAAGGGCATGACAACTATATATGGAGCTTATTCAGGTAAAAGAAAAAACTATATGTGGAACCTTTACCCGATTTTATTGAAGACTTTCCATTTTTTGGGTCTGTCTTGTAAAATGAAATATTAAGATTTGCAGAAACATTAAAGAAATTAACTTCAAGTCTATATATGTAGCGTACGTAACATTTGATCAACTTGACCAAAATGACAGGCTTTAGTTTTGATCCTCTAGATTTGAAAACGTCCTATAGAGGCCACCCTTTACCTCACTGAGTCAGACACAAAACCGCGTTATGAATTATGATGTGCTAATATTACCCTAACTGCGTGTATGACGGTAAGTAGAGAACCCTAGCTAGACCTTCATCTCAACTCTCAAGTCCAGTCCATCCACCTCGTTTTGTATATGTTCTGTTTTAATTCCATCTGTTCTGTTCGTTTAGTTGACTTCGTTTTCTTCTTTCATCCGTATTAATCTTATTATATGTGTTCAATAAAATCAAGCAATTGAAATTCATCTTACATAAGTCTTTAAAATCTAGGAAGTTAAGGGTGAGTTCTGATAGGAACCCTATATTTGAGGTAAATTAAGAAACTCAGAGTTAAGGTCCTGTTTGGTTCGAAGCATTGAGAATAAGAGATAAGGATTGAAATTGAGATTGAAAAAGACCATTAAAAGAGTATTTAATATAAATAATTAGTTGTTACATGGGATTCATCAAACCCATAAAGATGGGATTGGAGAATATCACATCTCCCCATAGCATTCCTTAATATCATTTATATGGATTTGTCCAATTCTATGTAATAAGCAATCTTTCATACTAAACACTCTTTTAATAAATTTTTTTAATCCCAATTGCAATCTTTATTCTCTATTTTCAATGTTTTGTATCGAATAAGACCTAAGTTATTGGTGAGATATGACGCTACTAAGAAAATATTTACTTATGGGTGGGGCAAGCTCTTCTATTGTGGTTCATGGTTTCTCTTGGCTATATGGTTCATCCAAGAGAGAGATGAGGTCCATTTCTTCTCTGCGTGAGCATTCCCTAAAAATATTCATTTTTTTGTTAGGCGTATTCCAGATGTATAGAAAGGAACTATAATAAAATAGAGCCACTTTTAGGTTCTGTACGAAATAGGACAGCATGAAAAGAGTAGAGGGAACAAGTGGAAGAATAATGAGAAACTAGTAAAAGACACTACTACCTCTAGTCCTAATTACAAGAGCTAGTTGACTAATTTAAAGAGATTAAGGAAGTAAGTTAAATTAGTTATTTGTCATAAATAGGTGTTGTTTTACCTAAAATATCCTTGTTAATTAAGTGTATTGGTTAGAACTACTATTGTTATAAGGACTACTTTGAAAAATATATATATAAATATGAGAGACAAAGTGGATAGAAGTGTCATATTTAGGACCAAAATAAAAGTCAAACAAGATTTTATATTAAGGGCTGGAGGTAGTATTGGATTATATCTAATTCACGCTTTGTGAATTAGGCTCAAATCCAATATAAATGGGACTACAACATGAATAACAAAATAATGAGTCCAGAGAGGGAGCATTGCCTTTATGACTTAAAATTCAAATCCTAGTAATTACTTATACAGAAGACATGGGAGTATATATGTTTGAGGGAGTTGGTTTTGGAGATACAGGTGAATAAATGTTTAACTTTTTTCTGAGTTGATTTGATGTCACTTATTGTATAACTCAGAGACTGTAGTATGATTCCACACAACATGTACATACTGGAAAATTTGTAGAATTCTAAACATGAAACACAATAATAAAGGAGAGGAATACAACTTCTGAAGGTTTTATTGGCCAACACTCAATACCTAGGAATATATTACTAATGAAGGTGTGCGAGAGCAATGTTGATGATCTTCCAACTTTTTGGGACAGATTTTGAGACCCTTCTCTCTCACAAATAGAATGTCAAATGCCATTACTTAACGCCCTAAATCAGAATCTTGTGGACTGTTTAAGGGGTAGATTAGATGCTTTATTAGGCAAAAACAGGTATACGTGAAGGCGTGGCCGTCATAACCGTACCTGTACTGGAGCACAGCCAAGTTCTCGTTTTACGTCCCACATCGGCTATTGAAAGGGCGAGGGCTACGAGGATGGGTATCAAAGAGAGACAAGAAGCACGTGGAAGCTCATCTTTGCGCTTGGGGCAATGACGCAGCTAGTGAGGTTCTAACCGAGGCGCGTCTATTGCTGGTTGAAAACTATTTCCAAACCCCCTCTTGGGCCTGGGTTTGGCCCAGGCCCTTGAGAATTTCTGGAAGGGCTCCCTTTGGGGTAAAGCCTTGCAATCCTTAGTTCAAGCTATTTTTGGCGCGTCTAAACTCTCAGGTGTCCATGTCATGTTGGGCTTCGTGCTCCAAAACCCCGGCCCAGTTAATAATAAACTCTCGTCGTTACCACCTTGGACCTGCTTCGCACCAGTGGATTAACTTGCCGCCTGACCATCAGGTTTAGAATTAAGGTGAGCGTGATTTCTTTTTAAGAGTTGGAAACTTTGTTAATTGAACATGGACAAGACTTATGGCGCCATCGCCAAACTTAACACTTAATTGCATGCATATGTGAAATTTTATTCAATCCATACCTTTCCTTCCTAAATTAACAAGATCTTGCCCCGTTAATTTGGGACACATTTCTCAATAGTACAAAGAGATTACTTGCGTGATAATGTAAGAGTAAATTTAATTCAGTTTATATGTATGTATGTATGTACGTACGTATGATGATAAATGACTAGCGGTCATGACCCGGACGCGGACTTGCAGAGGCGTGGGGTGCAGGAGGTGACTTTGGCAAAGGACCCAGTTTCCTCATCTTCATATCTGCTAAAAAAAAAATCACCACACACACAAACTTAGGCGCCAAATTTGCAGATTGAAAGCATTGAATGGTGTGGAAAACAGAACACAAACCTGAAGTGGCTCCAGTGGACTGAACGATAACAAGAATGGAGGCAGCGAAAACAATCGATAATACTATCACACATCGGTAAACACGAGACATACCCATTGATCTCCCCTTCTTAGTTTCTCTGCTTTATCAAATCATGGTCGCACCTCCAGTTTATGTATATAATTTCATTGATGCTTCTTCTTAATTTAGTATGGTTGTGTTGAATTTTCAACATAATTTGGCCAAAAACAATTGAGAGAGACAAGGTCATTGTCATGGACAAAAGACGCAAGACTCAATTATCCCTTTGTCAACCCCCAAGTCAACCAAATTTAGCAGGAAAATGTTGGCGGGTAGGTTAGTCCCCAAAATTGACTAAGTGCACAGCTGGGCTTGAACACTAAACACTATGATATCAGTTTGTCAAGGCCAAGCCAGCTCATAATATCAACGAAATTGTGACCTCATGCCATCGAAGTTCCTTGTAAGTAGAAGAGTTTGTGGGTTTAACCCCACTTATAATTTTAAGTCCTTAGTCTCTAATTGGGGAAGGGGAAAAAAAAAGAAAAAGAATCCAACTCATAACTCATGACTATTTTGGTTTGATTATTACCTTATTTTGCTGTTTGACTAGACAGCAGCATGTCAATACATGATAATTATGGGTATAAAATGCAAACGTTACGTTTGTTACCTTGACAAAACAAATCAATATAACATCATAATAACATCATTATTGATGATTAAATATCATTAATAATGTAGCAGTTATAAAAATCTGTCGCAAGAAATTGCTGTGTATTGTTTCACATATGAGAGCCATCAATTTCCGACAATATGAGTCTCTTAATAATAATAAGAATGATCAGGAGATGAAAAATTAGGATTGCACTCATAATAACATCAAAATAAAAGAAAGAGAGATTCAAACTTATGTCATTATTATAACAAGGTTTCCAGAACAGACGTAAAAGGTGGCTGATACGGCCCGAAAAATGGCCAGCAAGAGTCAAGGTGGAGAGGATCGGAAGGTGGAAGCCTATATATGAACGGAGCCATTCGGTGGAGGTGGTGGTGTTGGCAATGAACCAGCCAGCGTCCTCATCGTCGTCTTCCCTGCACCAGCGTCGGGGCACTGCAACAATAAAATGGAAGCAATTATCAAAACAACCAGCCATCACAAAGCGGTACAGAGAAGGCACACCCATGTATAGATCTCTATTCTTAGTAGCTAAATAATTATATATATATGGCTATTTGCTTCTCAATGTGTGCAAATTTATAGAGTTCTCAAAGCAGATATATAAATATATATATAGATATGCACAGACCTGGATTTAAATATTCAGTGGTGAACTTGTGCATATTTTCAACCATCCATATGTAACTTGTCTGCCACAACGCGCTTGCTCATATTCATAAAAATGTGTGCCGAGTTTATCATAAAAATAAAGTCAGATCAAACAATGCTAGCAGACAAGCGGGCATGTAGCTAGGCCTAACCTTTAATTAAGTCCCAGAGATCTATATATAACACTACCTCACTGAATATAGCATCTAAATAAAAGATTCATTTTGATCCTCCTATAAAATCTTAATATGTATTAATATGTATTTTGATTTGTAAATTTATAATTGTTTGTCCAGACTATTTCTATTGATTACAAAAATTAAAGAGGCTCCTGATCAATAAGAAATTCTTCTGTGCACCTAGACCTAGAGTACTACGTCATTTGGGGTCCAGCAAATCAGAACATGACACCTCAAACTATTTTAATCTTATGTGTCAGCTTTTAATGCTCATTTTAATGTTAATTATTTGAAAAATAAATAAGAAATTCCCAGGGTTTGTCCACTGCACCCCCCTCTCCCATCTGCATGGAAATTCCACCCATCACCTCGCACCTTCTTCGACTCTAGCATGCGGAAAAGTTAGAGAAAGATTAAAGTAAGAATGAAAGAGCTACAAGAAGAAATTTAAGAACCAGGATATTTATACAGATTTTGAAATCTGCAACTTCCAGTCTCCAGATCTGCAATTTCCAAAAATCCGACGATATCGCGGACGACGATGGAAACGATGATCTTGAAGACAAAAAGCATGATGACGGCTTGCAATTAAAGTCCACCTTAAAGAAAAGGCGTTGATGTTCTGTGCAAAAACTGAGCCTGAAAAAAGTTGATTTGGAGGAAGGAGGGTTCCATGAAGAACAGAGTGAAAGGGAGGGTCTATAAACAAATTTGTTAGGAAAATCTTAAAACAAATTTGTTATGCTTTTAAAAAAAAAAATTGAAGGAGAAGTGACATGAAAGGAAAAGCATTGTTCTACAGATAAGGAGAAGACAGGCAAATGCAAGAGTGATTAAACTCACACATAAAATGACATGCAATATAGCAATCAACTTGGCTGAAAAATATGCAAGGAACTGAACGTCCCTTCACACTGTTAAGTGTTAACCCTGTGGTTTTTCGAAGAAAGTCAGAGATGAAATTCTTGTCAATGCCAACGACGGTGGTTCTTGATGAATGAAGGAAGAGAGAAGCTAGTGGAGGCAGCGGTTGAGTGCACAAAACCCTAGGAATATTTTATTATTTTAATTTTTTTAAATAATCAAAATGTGAATTAAAACATGATACATAGGATTAAAATTGTTTGAGATGCTAAGTTTTGATTTGCTAGACAACACATGACGTGGTGCTTTAGGAGCATCCAAGAATTTCTCCTAATTTCAATACAGATGATTAATAATTAACTTAATTATATATATTACCTGCAAATTAGTTATCTAATTTTCATATTATAGTATGACTTGTTTCTTAAACTTTGTACAATGCACCAAACCCAGACGCAACTGAAAAGTCAATAAAATAGATTGATTTGTCGAGGTCAAAGGATGCTTAGATCTAAAGAGATGTTTGCGTAAATATAAAATCATAATTTTAAAAATATTTTTATAAGTAAATATGTGGACGAGTTTGTTTCAATTTACAAAAAAATGCTCTTCAAAAACACTTTTATAATTAGGCAAACACTTCTTAACTCTTTAATTCTGGCATTTTGCTTTTCTCCACTGCCTTTCCCATCCGGTGCCCTCGAATACCTTAAAACTACACCGTTTTCATAGTCAAACTCCTTTGCTTCCTCTTGACTTCCGCCTCAAGTAGATTCCTCAAAAACAAATATGAGAAAATGGTTGAGGGTGCTGTTAAAAAGTTCTTACTAGTAAGTGAGAGATTTTTTAAATTCAATTTCTTTTTCCTATCTAATTTTATTTTTTTTTCCTACCAAATCACTTTCCACTCATTTTTGTTTATTATTACTTCATAAATATTTTTTATTTCTTCACTAAAAATAATCATAATAAAATTTGCAGTACCTATGTAATATAATATGAAAAAAGAATAAATAATTACAAAATGTATTCAGAATTTAAAAATAATTATGAAATATAAGCATTAAAAAAAAGAATGGTTTTACAAATTTTTACTTAGAAATATAAAAATAAGGATAAATATTTATTTCATATAAAGAGGTTGAAATTATTTCATATTTACAAAGCCAATTTTTTAAATTCAATTTCCTCTTTCATTTGATTTTATTTTCTCTACAAAATGCCCCCAATTTTTTTTATGCTTAATATTTTATAATCATTTATAAATTCTGAATATTAATTTTATAATATTTTTACAAAAAATTGTGAAATAATAATCATAAAAAAACGGATGGTTTTAGAAATCTAAAAATAAGGAAAAATAGTTACTTAAAAAAAAGTGTTGAAATTTTTATTTATAAATATAAACAAACTTCATATTTCCAAAATCATTTTTCCTTTAATTCTATTTCTTCTTTCGTTTTATTTTATTTTCTCTACCAACTGCCTCTCATTGTTCTATGCTTAAAATTTTATAATTATTTAATAAATTCTGAATATTAACTTTATCATCTTTTAAATACATAATTATACTAAATATTTTGTTATTCTTATTTCTTTTATATTTTATAACATATGCACTGTAAATTTCATTATAATTAATTTTTGGTGGAGAAATAAAAATATTTATGAAAGAATACTAAATACAAATTAGTGGAAATGATTTGGCAGAAAAAATATAATACAATAAGAAAAAGAAATTAAATTTAAAAAGTCCCTCATTTTCTACCAACAACTTTCTGACAACACCCTCAACCATTTTCCCACCTCTCTCTGTGAGGAACCCACTTTAGGTGGAAGTCAAGGGGAAGCAGAGGAGTTTGACTTTAAAAATGGCGAAGTTTCAGGGTATCAGAGGGCAGCAAATGGGAGAGGCAGTGGAGAGAAGCCAAACACTTAATTCTGATAGCAATGACATTTGACGATCCACAAAGGTTTTAAGTCTCCTCCATTTCAAGGATTAAGAAAGATACTACTTCTGGTTCTAATTATAAAATTTTATTTATAATCTATAAATGAGATATTGTAATTACGACTAGAGGTAATACTAAGTAACGATACTTGGCACATTTGAGCTTTGACTATCAAAGGTGTTATTTTGACAAGGCACATGAGAAGTTCATCATCGATATTTAAATATGAATTAATAAAAGTCCTTATAATTTAAAATTTAAGGCGTTGATGAACAAAGGTGTTATTTTGACAAGGCAAATGAGGGCTCATCATCAATATTTAAATATAAATTAATAAAAGTGCTTATAATTTAAAATTTAAGGCGTTGAGTTTATAAACTTCTAATTATATATCTTATGAAACCCAAATCTTTCTAATATTTTTTTTGGGCCAGCCAAATCTTTCTTTTTCTTTTTATAATAAAAATTTTAAGTGGATTGGGTCCTAAAAACTTACCAGGGTCAGGATATGTCTCCAGTCTCAAAAAGCCAGCCAAATCTTTCTAATATGAAACACTATCCTTTTTTTGTTTTTTAAGTAAGACCAATCCACTCATATATGGCATCCCAACAGAAAGCAAGAATTGGACTATCAAATGCGGGGCATGGGCCCATTGTATACGGGTCAAGGAATTTGGGCCAACTAATCCGTGGCCCGTATACAATGGGCCTAAGGACCATTTAATAGGTACCCCTGCTATATTTTATTTTATAATTGCTGCCCAAATTATTAATGGGCCCGGCCCCCTTAAATTGTAAATTATTAAATGCTAAGACAGGTACGCTTGCTATTATTGTGTTAAGGAAAGCCCAAACAAGGATAGGGAACAGAAATGAAGTATCTTTGGCAGGGCAACGTAACGGGGAAACATGGGGAATATTTGAGGGTGATATATTTATTTTGTGGAGTAAGTAAAATCATGAGAAAGGAAAAGAGTAGGGTAATTAATAAGTTATTTTTTTTTCTGTTTTTAAAAACAAAGAATTGTTTTCAAAATAAGAAACCCAACAAGCTCTAAATAACATATGTTTAATACTCTCAGCTGGCAAGAATGGAAAAGCAAAGACATTGAGAAGTATGACGTCATGAGTTGTAAACTTGAACAATTTCAAGGCCTTAGTTTTTTGTTTTCTTCAGCTTTATCGCATGTTACACTGGACGGGGCTTTAAAATTGGCAGGATAACTAGGCCTAAGACTTGGGCTTGAGTCAAAATTAAAAGTACTACTAACAAGTATTAACATCTAGCAGAAATTGATATGTTTGAGAAAGCTAAGTGGGATTAAACCCCAAACAATCATTCTCCACTAAATTTCGCATGTCACTTGGACAAGTATCAAAATAGGAGGAAACGGAGATCCCTTGTATGGCTAGCGCATCAGCAACTTCATTAGCCTGCCTTCCAATAAAACACAGCTTGATCTCCCAGTTGTACTTCAGCAAATTATGAATCTGCATTAACAAAAGACTACAGCAGTAGCTGGGATTATTCTCAGCTAGATAATCAATCAAAGCCTTTGCATCAGATTCAAGTATAACCTTTTTGAATCGAAAATCCAGAGCCAACTTCAAGCCCTTACAAATAGCCGAAGCTTCTGCCTCAAGGACACTGCATGAACCAATTAGAAAAGAGAAACCAATAATCCAATTGCCAAAATGATATGTAATAACCCTCCACAACCAGCTTTCTTGGAGGATTTTGAAACAGCACCGTCAACATTTAATTTGAACCATCCTTCAGGTGGAGGAGACCAAGAAATAGAGCAAACCGTAGACTCCTTCACAGCATGTTTCACAGGTTCAGTCACAGCCGTAAAATTCTGCCAGCTATGGTTGATCACAGCAGTAGCATCCGGAGGCTTTGCAAAATTAGCGTCCAAAGTTGCTTCATTCCTCCAAAGCCAAAGCTTCCCTATTGCAAATCCCCAGACCAAATTCCAATCATCATTCCCATCAAGACCCATGTTTTCCTGAAGATTAAGGGCAATCCACTCTCTCAAAGATGCCCAAAAAAATCTGTTCACATACTTATGATTTACAAGAGAGTTCCACACAGATTTTGCATAGTCACAGGCTCTAAGAACATGTAAAATGCTTTCCACTTCGTTGAGGCAATATGAACACAAGGGAGAAGATTGAGACCAACTGCTTCTCCAAAGATTGGTAGGAAGTCTACCATGAAAGATTCTCCAAATGAAAACCCGAATCCCTTCTGCACCTCTCCAAATAAGTTTATACTGAACATGCCAGCCTTTGAAGCTTTCCACATTAAAACATCCTCCCCAGAAGAATCAAAAGGGGGCATAACACTAGTAAGTCTAGCCAAAACTTTGGCCTGAACCACATGGAGCAACTTCGAAAATCCCATGTACCATCAATAACCCAATCAGCACAACAGTATTTTGTTTCTTCAGCAGATAAATCTCTTAAGCAAAGGTCTTTTATATGTTGACAGAGTTCATTTTGACGACCTTAAATAAATCAAGCATTTGATTAATAAACTTAGGAAAAGTGCCTTGATTTGTTAATTATTTTTCTTGGTTCCTTCAAGCGCGTATCGCTACTTGTGAGAGAGGGTCCTCATCAATTTGTTTGTAGCTTCAAGCTAAGACTATTTCGATCGTCAAATTAATTCATATAATTTGTTGTCTTCTCTTTAAGAGTTGGAAACTTTATTAATTGAAAATGGAGAAGCCTTGAGATGCCATCCGTCGCCAAACCAAACTGAACATGTAATTAATTGCAGGACACACATTTTTTAATGATAAAAAAGAAATTATTACTTGCGTAATAATGTAACAGTAAATACTAATTTAATTCAGTTTTACTGGATGATAACAAGAATGGAGGCAATGAACACAATCAATAACATCACACATCGGCAAACAGAACACGTCCCCATTGATATCCCCTTCTTTCTTTGCTTTACCAATCATGGTCGCACTATATATATATATATTGATTGATATTTTTCTCTTAATTTAATATGGTCGTGTCGAATTTTCAACATAATTTGGCCAAAAACAATTGAGAGAGACAATGTCGTTGTCATGGACAAAACACGCAAGACACAATGTCCTTCTGTCAACGCACTATGCAAATTTCATATTTGAATTCTGGAATAAAGTCACACATTTGTGTTTTATTTTCAAACTTGGCATGGATCTTCTTCCAATAATCCAATTAATTTTTAAAACGAAGATGGTAGTGGAGTTGGCAAAGCACCCCGAGTGTTTTCACACATGAAAGCATGCTTCTAATTAAGGCATGCTAGGTATAATATAGTGCACAATAAGGAGCAGACTCGGCGTTCTAGGAGAAATAAAAACTGATTCTCTCTTTCTTAAACGACTACTTGCTAATTTGGCATCTAATACTATATTTATTACTCCTCCGGTCCTTAATATAAGACCCATTTAACTAATTTGATTAGATTAAGGAAGTTAGGTAAGTTAGTTAATTATAAGAAAAGTGACACATTTTTCCTAAAATACCATAGCCATCTTTCTTAATACCCCTCCTCTCTCTTATACTTAATTATGGTTGAAGGAGTATCCATAGGGGTAATTTAGAGAAAATTGATAAATATGAGAAATGGGTCTTATATTTAGGACCAAAACTAACTCAAGGATTGGGTCCTATATTAAGGACCGGAGGAGTAATATATAAATTTCAGAAGGTGCATGCTCCATATAGTAGTCGTCTAGTTTTGGGTTGCTGTATGTATTTGGTCGTTTTTAGTTGTTTCCTAATTTTACCTTTTTGGTTGGTGTGTTTTATTTTTCTCTTATGTATTTGGTCGTTTTTACTTGTTTCCTGGTTCTGCAAGCTCAGATATTGCAGTATAATAAGGTCCGTTGAAGTTTCTTCCTGGCTTTTTTGTCAGGTTTCAGACTGTGGATGAAGTTTTTCCCAGTTGTCTTTAATTTTCAATGTCCCTTCCTTAAGATGCCCTTTCATTCTGGTTTATGCTCCGCCCTTTTCTTGCTACAAAGGATGGTGTGATTATCTTGTCCTCCCCAAATGTATTTGACATGTGCAACTGGATGTGGACTGGCGAAATTGTTTGGTTCAAATTCCTAATGGGCCAGCCCATTTAAACTTATTCACACCATTTCAAAAGTATTGGGTTAACATTCAAGCGTTCTACTCTTAATTTGGGTTGAACCTTAACCCCTGCTTAAAATTTGTTTACCTAAAAAAAAAATTAGGTTAATGCTTAGTTCTTTTAACACAAAAGGTTTAAGCAGACTGGGCAAAATTGAATGCTGATGGTGCAGTCTCTTCGGCAACTCTCAAAGCCGGATGCGGAGGAATATTAAGGGATCATAATGGTCAGTGGATTGCAGGCTTTACATACCATATCGGAATTTGTGAGGTGGCAGAAGCTGAATTATGGGCGATCTATAAAGGCTTGCAATTAGCCTGGGACTTGGGTCTAAAAAACGTGATGTTAGAAACAGATGCCCAAAATATCATCCCTGTAATTCAAAGACATGATGACTCCACTCTGGATAGTCTCCTGAATTGGCAGATTCAGAATCTTTTGGCTCGGCCTTGGCGTGTAGAGATTCAACACATTCCGAGGAAAAAAAACAAAGTGGCAGATTTGCTGGCTAAAAGAGGATTAGACACCTCGGCTTTCTTGGACTCGTGTCCTTCATGGTTAAGCACTATTGTTGCTTAAAAAAAAAAAGGTTTAAGCAGACTGTACCCACGAAAGGGAAAAAGGTCTAAGAAACGAAGGAGCTTATGTAACTGGACCTGCAGGTTGGAGAAGTTTAATAGCAAATGGAAGTCCTGCTACACACAGTAAACTTGACCTTTCAATCAAGTACTGCGTTTCGTATATCAGATTTTGTGTTATAGTAAGATAGGCCCCCATGCTTGGGTTTTATATGCGCGATTATATTATCAATGAAGGATATGAAAAATTAATTGATCAGACCATATGGCTATATAATAAATAAGTAAGGACTGTATGAACCCTATATTAATTATTTGTGCTGAGAGAGATCAGTTTATGAAATACTACAAGGAACTGAAGGAGGCAATTGCATACATATATGTATGTATTTATGCTTGTACGTGCACGCGTGTGAGCGTGTTAATTGATTTAAGGGATCCATAAAGAAAGAAAAACCTAGGTGCTTAGCCCCAAATGATGGAGGAGACCTGTAAACCCTAAGATTGTATTGGAGGCGCGTTAGGATGCATTTCAGGGGATTTTATCGGTGCAGGTGGCGAACGTGGCATGTCACCCGCCAGTTTCCTCGAGCTTATACCTGCATGCATAAACAATATTTATTATTACATATATACTATTATTTGCGATTATTATCATAATCATTTTTCTTAATATCTTCATTTCATGTTTTACTTGATTATGGTTGAGGGAGTATCTATAGAGATAATTTAGAAAAAATTAATAAATATGATAAATATATCTCATATTTAAAATCAAAATCAATTCAATAATTAGGTCTTATATTAAGGACTGGAGGAGTATTACATATATATTATTTGCGATTATTACCATAAAAGAAAAGCAGATTCTACATATAAATATACATACATACCTGCGCCAGCATGGGGGCACTGCACCAAGAACGTAGAGGTAATAAGCAGAAGAAACATCAGAAAATGGTAAAGAGACGACGCACCCATTGTCTCTGATAATGCTAGCTTCATCGGCTTCGAATTTATAGATGTTTCCCAACAAGAATAATAACATTGGATATACGACCTCTGGTCCTATATATATATAAGCTCTCCATTTTGTTCTCATTACCGACAATAACGTGCCCTGTTAAACCCCCCAAGTCAACGAAATTTAGCGGGAAAATGGCGTCAGGAGGTGAGTCCACAGAATTGACAAAGTACAAAGCTCGGGTTGAACACTAAACAATATGATGTCATTTTGTTAAAGCCAAGCCAGCTCATAATTAATGACGCTGAGTTATTGATAATTAGGGTGATCCTCAATATCGCCTTTAGGTCAAATTAAATTAAATTTAGATTGTAATATAGTGATGCAAACCAAAGTCATTCTTTTATTGGAGCAAAAAACTAACTAGGTCCTAAATTAACTAAAAATCAAAATTGCTATTAAAAAGGTTTTTTTTGTTTTTTTATTTTAAAAACTACTTTCAAAATAAATTAAAAATAATTCTAAATACTTTTTTTTTTGGTTATTTTCTTATTAAAAAAAATGAAAAGATCATTTGAAATTGAAATTGAAATAAAATTAATTAAAAAGGTAGCAAATGATAAAATTTGGATTCGAAGGAGATATGAGATAATGTTTCTTGGAAAATAAAAATTGGGTTATCCTTACTCAAAATGATCTGGGAGTTATTTTATTCACTAATTTAAAATCAAAACCTTAACCACTGATTAATCTTAATTAATGGATATCCTAGAACTCTAGCTACGATCACAAATTAAAAATATCATTGAAAACTGATTAATGTGCAATTACGATTAAATTAATGCAATTCGGGTCTTTATGCAAAGAACACTCAACTTGATATATTCATATCAACAAGTACTATACAATTATAAAATTCATCCAAACTATAAAAGAATAACATAACCACATAAAACTTCAAACTGGATATAATTATATAAATCTCAAACTGCAAAATCCAATCCCAATCATAAAAATTCAATTCTAAACTAAGAATTACAACCAATAACCTCAGAAAATTTAATTAAATAATATCAATTCTAATTCAGAAAATTCATTACTCAATTAAATTAAAAGAATTGAAATAGAAAAACTCCGCTAATTAACTCTAAAGCTCAAACCCAATCCTCCATCTCCAAGAAGCTGAGTTAAATTAGCTGCACATGATTTTGGATACTTCTAACACAAGTTTGCTGTGCAAGTCGGCCATGGAAATGAAGAAGAGTGGTGCTGCGTGCGTGATGAATGGGCTCGTGTGAGGTGCCGCGTTGATGG